TTTTTTGTTGCATTTGCAAACAATGGTAAAAAGCATCAGCAATTGCTCTGATCTCTCATGTTCAGTCTCTTAGCACTTATAGCATTTTTACACATCTGAGTAACACAAACTTTATCAAAAAAAATTTCTGCTTACAAAACCAATGTTTTGGAACTTATATGTGTGAGCGATGAATAAGCTGCTAAAGTTTCGGTATCTCATTGAAATGACCTAAATGAAGCTAAAATTATTCCTTGGTTATAGTTATCGTTTGAAAAAAGCTTTTCTTAATTTTCGACAAAGTGGTTAGGGTCTTTAGAACTTAGCCTCTTTATAAATTATTAACTGAAGTAAAATACACAGCCGAAATAAGGTTTGTATTTTGATTTTACCTACTTTTGGTATTGAGTCACACCAACAAAACAATGTAATCAATATTTGTATTTTGATTTTACCTACTTTTGGTATTAAACTACCCAAAAAAATCAATGTAATTAATAAAGTAGCAAACTCTACTGCCACATCGCTATGAGTTTGCAAGAATTTTCGGTGATTAGTCCAAACCCTTTTTCTTTGGCATGATAGATTCCACACTCTGTTCTTTCGCCGCTGAGGCGCAATTATTTGAAGAATGCAAACTTCAAGAAAATCGGTAAACAGGTTACCGGCTCAGTTTTTCGGTTGTGTCGGTTATGGGCTCAAAAATTTGAGTTCTCTCTTCCGTTCGTGGTAATGACGAAGGGGCTTCGCCACCTCGGTTGATGAACTGTAACATGTTAGAAATATAACAATAATCATATGTTTTTAAATGATTTTGCTGAAAAAAGCTGAACCTCCGACTGTGTTCGCAAAAAGCTCAGATCATCCTTTGCTCCCTTCTTCTCCTCGACTGGACTGCCTTTACGAGGTACTGCTTCTGGTCTTCTGAAACAGTTTTGGCTAAAACCCATGAAGAACCATCTAAAATAATTTGACTGACTTCTCTATGTCTCTGTCCAGCTTCTTCGGTGAGATCGTGTAACTCGTGCGTGTGATCGCAGTTGTTTCTGAGTAGGCAGTTGTAGGTTCGTCGTAAGTCTGTAAAATCAAAGCCATTACGGGTGCAATAGCTGTAATAGGATAGTATCAATAAAAATGTCAACTGCGCTGTGACTGATGTTATTATAATACACAGTAAGAGAAATTTCTTGCATGTGGGTATGAAATTCCACTTGACTTTTCTTGTTATGTCTATTGAATGACGAAGAACATTTGCGTTACTGCGATTGGGTGCATGTCACATCGAGCGCATGCCAAATTGGAAGACTCGGCATGACAACAATTTGAGAAAGAAAACTTCAAATTTGTGAATAAAAAAGCGGTACGGAAAGAACTGAAACTGAATCGCGTCAACCCATTCTCGTACACGTGACATTAAAGAAGAAAAAGTTTGCACAAAAGTGCAAAGTCAGTGGAATTTGGAAGCCAGGGTCAAACTATGTTTGCTTGCAAAATTTACTCCGGCGTAATTAGTACAAAGGTTAAAATTTTGCAATTTTTCATGACTTCAGCGTTATACTGCATGAAAGCAAAATTTGGCATAAAACGGCTTATACAATATTAATAAGTTTAATATTATTCATGCTCGACAATATATTAATCTTGGCATAGGAGTTATACTTTACTATTTATTCTTTAACGCCGAAACGTTGGCCTCAATAAAAAGTCTTCCAATCTTGGCTTAACAGCTGAAAAAAGAAAAACAGGAAAATGTGAGAACTGTTTTCCATGCAAGATTACTCATGGCATTGTGCTCGAATGGGAGATTACAAATGACCATCGAAAATTTCCACAAATACGCAAAATGCAGAAAATTTCTAGTGGAAAATGAACAAAAGTTGGATGCCAGCGGGATTAAGCAGGAAGAAATAAATGCGAAAATTCTAGTTAGTTGGAATATATTTTGGTTAATTTGCAAAAAATCACGACACATGAGAAAAAGGTTAGGTTTCATAGGTTTTCCTAAGAATTCCAAATGCGAAATTTCGCAATTATTTCTGTGACAAATCAAGCCTATCATTCTGCAGCGT